TAGTACAGTGTAGGATTATAATCTGGGGAGCAGCACATTTTTCTGGCAGAACTTCCTGTAAAATACTTCCATTGCTATAGTGCCGGCTGTACATATGGGGCCAGTAAATCAAGATAACTCGTAAATCAAGATAACTCTGCTGAGATAATAAATGGAGCTGAACTGCTTGACACCACACGCAGATCAAACCAAGAATCATTTGGTTTAGAACAGGGGTGACTTCATTTCCAACTGAAGTGAAATAGTATTATGCTGGAAGCATATATCGGCATGGGATTTGCCATAGGGTTTGTACTGGCATCACTGTGCCAGATTAGGACTGTAGGAAGAGACAGATTGCGAACCATGGGCGAGTCAAAGGCTGATCACTTCTCAACTGTAAGCTGTTAAAAGCGCTGCTTCCCTAGTACAAAATGCCATGAAAACAAACAGACGGAAGGAAAGGAGCCTTCTAAATTCTACATTTAATAAAATAACCATTTCCAAAAGCTTTTTTATTATATCTTGCCAGGTCCTTTAGATGAATTTCTGTTATTTGTGGACAAGTGGTTATGAATTTATAAAGGCTTAATTAATGTTTTTTGATTTATCTTATGTCTTAAAATCAAGTTATTGCTGTTTCTTGTTTCAATAATAATTTGAAATATTATTATTATTAGAAATGATAATTTCAAAGTACAAACAGAAAATATCAAGTACATTAAAATGGAACCAATTTGGACTGAGCTTTAGTAATTCATAACATAATAAATTCTCAAAAATACCAGAACTGTAATGTAGAGACTGGGGAGAATAGACAAGCAGGATAGATGATGCATGACTAAGCTGGCACTAGGTGTTTTCCATAAATCACACCGTACCAGAAGAAGTTATCAGTTATAAAGTGCTGATAATGGCTTTTGTTGTCATTCCTCTCTTTTCAAGCCTCTGTTATTGTCTTCCCCCTCCCTGCCACCTTGTTTTTCAGTAGAGCAGGGCTACCTGGCATTTCTGGAAGAAGCCACCTAACTGGCTTCCTTCCCCTCTTCCTCTGCATTCTCTAGATTTGTATGCTGTGCAAAGTTTGTGTAAACGTGCTACCACTTGTTTTTCATAGGATATTGTAGCCCCTTTGTACCAGTTTGTCTGTGGCAACATATTTTTGTTAGCTGCCATTTTTTTTTTTTTGGCTGCCTGTTTGGAGAATTCTAAAGAGTAAGAGATCTTTGGAAAACAATGTTTTGTTTTTCAAAAATAGGTCTCCAGTCACTTATGTTGCTTTCAGTCAATGAACTTGATTTAGGGACTTATTTCCACTGTGATTAAAATTATTTCTGACTCTCTTCAGACTCCTCTGCTTTAATATTTTGTTCTGTAGCATCTGTCAATGCAGCTATTTATTGCAGTTCCCTTCTCAACTAATTATCCTAGTAACTTGAAATGTTTTCCTTCTTGCTTGTCATTAGGCTTAAATCAAACCTTACATTTGTCATTCTGTCAGAAAAGCCACTTGAATGTTTACTTTTGAAAAAATGGAATAAGAACATCAATGCCTTTGATTTAATGAAAAGATGTAATAAGGGCAAATCACCAAAAAGAGTTCTGTAAGTTAAGATAGCTGTGTAACATACTGATGGGCAGCCAGAAAATAATTAGTTAAGAGTTGGTTTCTATGGTAAGATTAAAAAAATGGTAATTTAAAAGTGCTAAATCTCAAGTTTTCTTACTTGAGAGCATGCATTTTCAACATCTACATTTTAATTTAGAGTTATTCTTGCTTAACTCACTCAGTAGTAAGCTCTGACACTTCAGAAGATTTGGTGGCATCACATCTCCAGATTTGGGCATTCCTTCAAAGGGCACAGATGTGCTATGGAAAACATGTCTAGTTTTGCTAGTTGTTTTATCTGGAGATGCTCATGAAGTATATTTGGTTTAAAGAGACATTATTAATACCCAGAGATTCTTAAAGCTTGTTCTCATCTCCAAACTGCCTTTTCCCAATACCTTTCAGGATGTATATTAGAAATCCAGTTTTGAGGAAGTCATTCATTGGCACCACCCCTCTATGCAACAAGCTGTGCTTTCTGCTCAGCCATGCCACATCCCTGCAGTGGCAAGGCTCCTTTGGCTCCCTAAGAGAGACCAGGGCAAGTTGATGGGGCTTTGGGTCTGCTGGGGGCCTGCAGTAGCAGTGGAGAAGTGGCTCCAGGTCTCAGCACCAGCTCATGCTGCAGCCTTCCCTCGGCTTTCCCAAGGGGTAAAACCTCCTTCCCATGCAATGAGACCCAGCTGGCAGCAGACCTGGGGCAGGAACACTTATAGTCACCGAGGCTTCCCAAGCCCCTGCTGACCCTGCATTGTGGTGTCCATACTCTGACGTGATTTATTATCACCCATAAGTGCTTACCATGATGCTTCTGAAATGTCAGAGCTATTAAGAGAACAGAAAAGATTTGCTTTAAACTAGCCATCCAGTAAATACATGTTTCTTACATTTCAGATGCTGTCTAAAATTCCTAAAAGTTTCAGGCCTTTTTATCTTTGTAGTTGTCTGCTCTGTAAGTATTGAATTTGCAATCTTCCCCTGGCTCCCATTTCCTTAGAATTTTTTCAAAATAAGGTGTGATATTTGGTCTTAGCTAATAAAAAATGTCTTGAGAGTGGGGGCAAGGTGGCAAAACCTGAAAATATTGTGCAGGGCTTCATGCCTAATCAGACCACTGTTTGGTGCACTAGCCACCGTCCTGGACAATATGGTAGGGTAAGCAGTTGAGTTTGAGGAGGCAGCTTAAACTCAGATTTGTATGTCCTTTACAGTTGCTTGTTGAATTTAGGATGGGTCATTAGATACTGGCTAACATTTGAGGAATGTTCATAGGAAAAGCCGTGCTGGGGAGGTTGCACCAGCAACGGCAGCACTCCATGGTGTGAAAGGCCGAAGAACACAGGGACGTAGGCAGCGGCCTACCAGGGCTGCCAGAGTACTGCCCTCCCCTCCAAAATCTTCAAAACCAGCAAGATCTTAGACTGCAAAACTTGAGAAACATTTCAAAAAGCTGGAGTTTATCCTTTTAACTGCTATGAGGAACTCTTTTTTGGCTAGCAGGGCTTCTGTATCAAAGGCAAAATAGATGACACTCTGTATTTCCTCAGATGTGGATGTTGCTTTCTAGATAGATCCTTAAGATACAACTTTGTCCTAAGAGACACTTGGATAAAATACATTGAATATGAGACTTTGGCAATAAGTTTATAGAAGGAATATTACTCATCCTTTTTAAGTATCCCAGGGGTGCTTTTCAGCTGTGGTGGAAACATACCTGAAAATACTGAAAGCAATATTACAATTTAACGTACAGTTTGAAAGAATCTTGTTTAAGTATTTGAGATAGGCTTAGCAGGTATTTTTTCAGTTTTTGTGTTATAATGAATGTTTTTTTATCCTTGCCCTAGATTTTATTTGGCATTTATCCAGATCAAGGTGTGTCCTGGCAGATGTTGGCTGTATCACCTCTGGAAAGTTTCTGTATCCTTTTTTCACTGAAAAAAACCCAAAACAAACCACCAACCCCAAACTGAAGTTTCATTGATAAACTGGTTGAATGGATGGGTGTTTTCTGTCTTATATCCTGAGAGGACTGGGTGCCCTCAGAGCCTTAGACTTGTCCTTTGGCAGAGGCCACAGCTGTGCTCCCTATCCAAGTCGTACTGAATGGCACCTGTCTGGGGTGCCTTGTGGTGCCCATCCAGTCCTTGTGTCCAGCCTCTGCATGAAGCCAAGAGTGTGCAGCTGGGCTGCAGACCCAGTGGGATCAAGGCCCAGCAAATCACTGGGACCATAGCTAGGACATGCGCCTGGCTGCAGCAACTGCACCCCAGAGCACAGATGTATACTGTCATCTGTAACATATCTGTAGTGTGTACTTGGGCCATGATGTTACCCAGTGAACTCCTTCAAAAGCAGGAAACCTTCATGGATACATTTCCAGAATAGCTTAGCCCAGCCTTATGTATAGATTTGTAGATGTGTAGATATTTTTCAGTGGAGGTGTGGATTCCTTTACAAATTTTCCATGTAAAATTGCTCAATAAAGAATTTAAGTCCACAGGTTGCCAAGAAACTGTTCACAAGAATAAGCAATAGAATAACCCCCCAAAAAAAAGATTCATCACAGGTGAATGCAGACCTGAATGTGAAAAGTCTTTGAGGGATGAACGTTCAGTTAGTAAACATACAAAAACTTTTCAAAATAAATTACATTTCTTGTTCCCACTATATTTCTAGTTTAATCAGTCTGGTCCACAATATGCTTGACTAGTATTAAAAGGTGATTCACTTACAGACCTATTTCATAAGCTCCTGGGAAGTCTCTTGTTTTGAAAAGGTGTGGTAGGATTTAATTTTTGAAGTGCTAATTTTTCCTATTCAACTGGGCAGTTCCATGTCTCTGAGCAGGGAGAGTCCATTTTAAATAGATTTGATTATTCGCATTCTCACTGTCACCAATAATGACACAATATAACACAATAATTAGTAGGGTAAATGAGGAAGAAAAAGTTAGTCCTTGAGAACCCTTTATAATTAAAAGGTGAGATTGCCTTTTGGAGGAAAGCAAGTGAACATTTAGTAGGACCAGTGACAACTTCAACTGTAAACTCCCATCCATGTCCTGTTCACATCAATATTTTTGTCCTCCTTGAAACTCTTGTTGAAAGCTCCTATATATCTGTAGTGTTGAACAGCACCAGGGCTGTCATGGCCCAGTCTGCCAAATGAGGGTGTACTGGCAGCGAGTCTTTAGTTGAAGTTTTAGTCAACTCTCATGGTGTAGCTTGAGGATTTCTTCTCTTTCCACAGACCTTGTGTTGGAACCATAGCTGCTGCATTGTACACATTGATGCTGCAACCAGTTATTCTTTTTGTTTGTTTCGGGGAAGTGCTGGTGGGACTAGGATTTGTGCATAAACAACTGTTCCTATATTTGACATTTTACCTATCACATCAGGATGCTTTGAGCCAAATAACTGTCAGACAGTCAGAACATAGTGTTTCCCTTTCTTACTTGACAAACCTGGAGCTGAAGCTTCTTAGTTTGTCATGCATGTTGAAAACTGGATGTTCTGTCCCCTACCTGAGGTCACTGAGCTGGGGAAAAATATGTGAGAGGCAAGCAATCCAGAAATCCACGCTTCATTTTCAAGGTAATATGGTAATTCAAGCAGAAGGGTCAAGGAGAAAGATTGCATTTTTAAATGCAGTTTGGAAAAGGACAAGTAATTTTGAATGTCATCTCACCGATGCTGCTGGTCTTCATTTGTGCAGAAGTAAGCTCACATGGTTGTTTTCCACTTTGTTGCACGGTGAAGAAAGAATTCATCTTTTTGGCTAGGGTTGGATAACATTAGCCATTTGCACAGCAGTGTTGAAGACGTGATCTATGCTGGCTGATAGACTGCGGTATTCCCAGTGGATGTTAGGTGCTACTCTCTGAATGTCTACAAGAATTTCATGATAGGCTGGGAGGTGTGCTGCAGTAGTCCTTGTCACAAAATCCTTAGAGGTTATTATATGAGACTGCTTTGGGTGGAAAATAAGTCTGTTAGCTCATATGCCAAATTATGCAAATGAACACTCTTTACCTCTTGCTTATGCCTCAAAAGCTGTTAAGAAGTATTGAACAGGTACCAACCAATACTACCAACTATATAATTTTCTTCTTTTTTTAAATTCCTTCCTCTCATTTTCTACTTTTTTCCAGAAATACTCATGCACATTGATGTGTGTGTTACGAGTGTGTGCTCATGCATACAATATGTCTGCATACACTAGAAAAATAAAAAAAAAGTTTGAAATGTTCAAGTGATCCCCTTTGGACTTCATATCCTTTGTCATCCTGGTGCCACTTAGATATCTGTGGTTTTTCTGCCATGCCCACTAGACCTCAGGCTCGCTCAGAGGCAGGACTTTGTCTCTGCTGGTGGGAGAGACCAGCTAGCATGGGGGTGACCTGCTTTTCATATGACACCTCTTTATCACTTTTCCACTTGCTCTAGTTCCCACTTGTTTGTGTTTCTATACCTTTATCTCTTGTTTGGATTTACTCTAGCTGTTTTTCTTCCCATTATCTTCTTTTTTATTAGCCCACTTGTGTCTCCTGTTGCTTTGCCTGTCCCCATGGGTGCAAACTTGACATGTAGCACTGAGGTGTGTTGGCTGCATTTTCTGAAAACCTGATCTTGCCTCCTGTGAATTAAGAGGAGGTTTTTGAGTCTGTAAAGTTGTTCTTTCTTTTTTTTTAATATTGATTTCCCTATTGGCACCAGCTACAAATTCAGTGGATTTAGTATAGTTTTTCAAAGTAGTGGTAATATTGTTCCTTTTTGACAACACTTGGGATTTATTGGCTTATAAATTCTAACAGTCAGCGCTCTAATACCAGAAGGAAGTAAGTTTATACTGAAGCCTTGCTAGAGGACGCTTTTCTGCAGGAAGCAAGATTCAATACCCTTACTGATGTACATGTGTGAAGCATTTTCAGATCTTTTGCTCAAAGGCTGTATGTTAAGTGGGGAGCATCAATAATTAATCATATGATGTGCCTTTGGAAAGTAGTTTATAAAAATAGAAGAGATATAGAGTCTGAATAAATTCCAGCATTTCTTAGTTTAGTTACATGCACCTATTCTAAGACATGAACAGTTTTATTTTCTGTAACTGTTTGGCCATTCAAATCTTAGGTAACTTCTCTCCATTAACTGGTTGACCAAAGAGTGAATGAGGGGTATTCCTGTTCTTCTCCACAGGTTACATAGTTTTTCAGACTTAAGAATCTTCTGAAATGCTAAATATACTCCACGTTTGTTCCTTTGTTTCTAGTAACTTCTGCTCTGATCTAAGCAAAATTTTAAAATTTTCTCCAGCAACGGGGGACAACTGAGGCAGAACTGTGCACTAACGTTTTGAATTGAACTAGGCTTTATGAAATTAAAAAGTAATGGGGATTCATGGATGCTATTAGGGAATTATGCAATCAAACTCTATGCTACCTCACTGTCATGTAAAGAAGTGTCTGTCTCCCTGATACAGTACCTTCTTTTCTTTCAGTGTACCTGATACAATTATTGCTATTTCTGCACTTCTCAATAGCAGAAACATTTTCATTTTGCAAGAAAAGGTAAATCTTCTTCCAGCACATTTCTGTGCAATGGGTCTCACACCTACCTCGTTGAGCTGTGAATTTCCATCTTTACTCTGTCCTTGACAAGTGTTTAAATCACAATCTTGTCTGCGTCCCTCTCAGCCTCTGTACTTGTGCCAGTTCCTGTTTAGGAGAGGGAAAGTTAGATCAGTCTAGGTGAAGCAATTCCATTTTCCTTTTTCAGACTGATTGTCAGAACTTCCTTTTCTTGGACCTGAAACCTGATAATAACTGGAGAGTGGATTGTGAATTCTTTCTGAGTCTGGCCAAGGATCTTGCATTTCTATAAATATATTTTAAAGCCTTTCAGTCCTGATCTGATTGTTTGCTTTAAATGTTTAATATCTCCTCAGTAAAAATTTTGGAGCAAGGGCTGACTTTTTGCAGGGTATGTATTTGCATAGCAGCCAGTGTGAAGGGTTCCATACTCACTTGCTCTTTACATGCAAAACAAAACTTAATGAAAATACAGCATCTCAAGTCATGGCTGAATGGATCTCCAGTCAGTCCAAATCAGACAAACCAGAGATGTCAAATTGACTAGTCAGTGGCCATTTTTGCTGACTTATCTCCCTACTCAGTAGCTCTGAGAGACTTCATCACATCCAGTCCAGGACTGAGATCTCAAATTCAGAAAGTAGAAGATGTAGCTCAGTAACAATGATATGTTGAAATTTACGTCATAGGCAAGACTTTAATTTCATTTGGATTCAGTGGAACTGTTTAGAACAGTTCCACATATGGACATTGGTGGGGAGGCTGAGCAGACATAAGATGGGTAAATGTGCTGTCTTTATTACCAAATTTCTTGCTGAAGTTGCATGAGTTTGAATGATTGGTGCAACTGTGTTAATCATGGAGGAAGAAGGTTACTAGGAAAACTTGTAATCATACCACGACCATTAGAGACACTGAAAATCTCCTTTCTCACTCCATGAACCACAGATACATATAGAAAGACTATGAGGCAAAGGATGTAGTCAGATTTTAGCAGACTTTTCAGCTTCCATGGAGGTCCTAAAAATGGGTTCTTCTCCCAGGGAGCATATATTAAATTAATGAATGAAACAATCTCTCTAATCCCTTTAGTTCTTTTTTCCCCTTTGATTTTTTTTTTTAAATCTTGTAACTCTAGTTCTCTACTGTCAGACCCTCCTCCACCATTTTCCCTTGCAGAACACATTTAAAAATCATTTGTGTTTGTTGATGCTGTTGGAAAAACGTACTAAGCATTTTGGCCTGCAGACAATGTTCAAGCTGCTAAGTAGATGAATGAAAACCAGGACCACATGCAGAGGCAGGCAAAGAAGCAGAATCTGAAAGCACCATTGAGAAAATGCTGTAGAAAAGAGAGTTTATTAAGGACGCACAAAATTTCTAGAACTGATGGAGCACAGAGAGAAAGGATGGATGCAATGTAGACAAAAATGGAACCAGATTGCTGACACTCCAAAAAGGAGAAAAAAGTTATGGAGCATGCTTCAGATGAGGAAACCAATAAGTATAGGAAAGCATGTGGTTCAACTTGGTATATTGTGAAGGGATGATGTGAAAACAACCTCTTGATCTACAAACAGGGATAGGACATCAAAAGAGAAATCTGCAGAGTACTGCAGAAATAACCTCAGTTGAGGACAACATGTAACAATAGATGCTAAGACCCAGGCAAAATACCCTCTTTAAAGTGGTAATATCCTAGAGAAACTAGCATGAGTGACCTGGTCATAAATCGGGATCGATAGTATATAAGCACCTCAGAAACTTGGTGAAAAATAATCAATAGACATAGTATTCTCAAGGCATGTTTTACAGTAAGCAGAGCAGATGATAAAAGTAGATGTTAAAGAAAGCATAAAATCTGCATGCAAATATAACAGAGAATCTCTGTCAATCGTGGCTTTTCAACTGACTTTGTACATACTGACTTAATGGCATGATGGAGGGTAGAGCAGGGACACAGTAGCTAGGGAATGACTGATCTCAGCTATACCTGAGTTAGTCATCCTAGGCTCTCTTTATGGTTAACGGAGAGAACTGATGCTTCTCATGAGCGATTCCTCTCATCTTTGTGTGGTCTAAAATGAAGCAATGAATTCCATCTTAAAAATGCCCTCTTCTCACTGATTTTAAGGGAATAATCAACTCAGATGCAAATGTCTGCAGTACAGAATTATAAACTCTGGTGAAGGAATACCGATGAAAATGTTTAGCCACTGCATCCGTCATGTTGTCTACATAGCTACAAAAAAGTAAAGTGACATGAGGTGACTCTTGCACATCCTTCAATACCTTCTAGGAGCAGCTAGTCAGAAAACCAAGATCATCACTGTGTCATGGTGCACAACACATACACAAACCAAAATTCCTTGACAGTATAATTCACAGCAGTAATATAAGTTCAAGAATGGAACTACATAAAGATGAGGCAGCCTAGCTGAAGTGAAATAAAAAAATAACAGCTCTGGCTGTAAATCTTCTCAGGGAGATTTTTTGCTTTAAAGGCACACACTAGAGGTCACGTTAAAAAAAAAGTTCAGAAAAGTGAACAGTCCCAGCATGGCTAAATTCCACAATAAAAGGGGATATTAGAGGTAAAAAGATAGTTTTCCCAAAAGTTAGTCACATCTGAATGATTAAAATATAGACAAGATCACATTCTGGCAATTTAAGGGAAATATAAAACCAAGATAAGCCAGAACAAAAATATTCTGAAGAGCAGCTTGATAAAAAAAAATCACATTTTGATTCATATAAGTGTGGCTGAAGTTTTCTTCTGGTTTATTTTGATTCCATCTTTCATAAAGGCTGTGATTTGCTTCAGTCTAACAATGGAATTATGACAGAGTCTCTAAATACTGTTTGGAGAAAAGGTAACTCTGATGGGATTTCAGAGCCTTACTGCAGACTGGTGAATGATGTTCAATTCCACTTGCAGTCAAAGGAGAACCTGTTTTGCTAGGGCTCTTTCTGATGGTTTTATAAAAGCACAGAAAGGAACGGAAAAACTTTTTAAGTATCCTTATAGGAAAAGAAGGAAGGAACCACTCTTCTTGAAAATAACGTTTAATTTTTTTCCCCTTTAATTTTAAGTATCCTTTATAATAGCACCTGAATGTGTCAGCTAAGTAATTACAGGATTTATCTTAAAAGTATTGCTTAAAAAGAAGCTGCCATAATTATATGCACCTGAAGCTTTTCAAGATATAAATTACTGGCTACACTCCTAACAAAAGGCAGACTGTCAAGAGCTGTCCCAAGTCATTGGGTTAATGACTTCAGGTCAGCAGACCTTTTAGAAGGTATAATTAATGTGTCTAGTTAAAGGTATGCTATAGCTCCAGTTGAGGCTAATATTATGTATTAATTAGGACACAGAAAACCTATGATGCCAAATCATACTTAAAACCTTCAGAACTAGAAGAGAACTGTTGTAATTTGTATTTACACTTGCTAAGGGCTGTGTGTGTAAATTCTGACTGGAGTTGGTCTCCTGAGTTGTTGCCTCTGAGGTTACTTTTTTATCCTTTCCTGTGTGATTCCTTTAAGCAAATAGATGCTTGGGAAGTTCATTCTTAATGAACAGCATGTGGGTGACACTGGTGGTGATTGCTCTGTTCACTGTGCTAAGCAGTGACATTTATATTACTTTGCAACTCATTGGCTGCTCACCTGCTACTGGATCCGCTAGGGCCTTTTTTGGGTTGGTGTGAGAGACATCTCTTTTCGAATCCAGTTCTCCTGCTGGGAACGTGGACAGATGCACCAACTCTTCTAAAGATGAAAGACCCCTGCATAACATCACAAAGTTTTCCCCATTAGAGACTGGTCTACCATGGATGGCCTTACTGGGGCTCACTGGGAAGCACTGCCCTGAGTCCCCTCTAACTATACTGTATTTTTTCTTCCGTTAAAGTCACTGAGTTCTTTGGGCAACAAAAGGTCTTTCTGGGAAAATTCTTCTGGTAGGTATATGATCTTCTACATTTTTTGCAACCAATTCACTCCTTGTAGTATGCTCAATTAAATGTCAGATGTTAAAACCGTCAAGATACTCAAGCATGTGATTGTCACACTATTTCAACAGAACATGTATGTGTAAAATCAATTCTTTTTCTTTTTTTTTTTTTTTTTGGTGGTGATGCCTTATCTTTCTATCTGGTCACAGATAGGAGCAGAACAATTACAATATCGCTCTATTATAGTAACAAACGGACTGTGAAGGGCTTAAAAGCTCAGGCTTTCCCTTTTCCTCAAACCCCCAGGGATGCTTCTTCCTTAACCATGCCAGAAGTGGACTATTGCAATACTACGTTTAAATAGTCCTAGACGTATTGGGACTAACAAAGCCAGACTTCCAATGGATTTGTGGATCACGGTTGTCTGATTTCTCAATTATATTAGACTAGGAATGTAGTTTGACCATACCTCATACTAGATATCCCAAAGAGAAAGAAAGAAAAAGTAGATCAGGGTGCTGGTCTGTGAGTACTCCAACCGAGAGGAGCTTGAAAATATGTTTTTCGGATGTTTGAAAAATTGTGAGTAAAATTTTGACCAAACAACAAATTCTCTGCCATGAATAGGATGTTGATTCTGGTTTAGTTTTCCCCAAGGTTGGAGCTTCCACAGTGTTTTCCCCAGTACAAATTCCGTGATATTTAAATTGTTGAGCTAATGATGCAGTGTTTCATCTAGAACAAACACTTAAAGAGCTTTACTTCTCTGTCTCTCTGTGTATTTCCATATGCTATTTTGGAGCTTTAGTGCATCTACAGTGTCAGCTGAAAGCACTTGTTATCTCAAAAGTCACTAGGAAAGGACAGATATATTTCTTCTGAACCCATAACTTCCTGTTTCCTTAGGAAACCCATCTGGAACAGTGCTACTTGGTGAGGAAGCAGACATCTATTTTCTTTTTTTCATAGTTTCTTAAGCATTTTGGCTGAAGAATATGTTTTTCAATATAAGTTAACTAATCTACATTTTTTTTTTACTGGAACTTGTACAGCCTATGCTAATTTTTACTGGGAATTTGCACCTTAACAACTTTGTTATCAGCTATGAATCTGACTGATTTTCGTGATTCTGCTCTGTTGAAGTTAGACATAGGAGGACCATTTGTAGTTGATGTAGTTGATCAGCAAACAGAGGAATACATTGTAGTACAAATAAGCCAAACTGAAGATGCTGGATCAAGGAGGAGACACCAGCCACAGGTGATGGTCTTTCACTTTTTTTTTTCTTTAATTTTTTCTGAGACATATTTTATCACTTATATTTCTATCACCATCGTGTGGATTAAGTGGCCATGCATTTTGCTGGTGTGAAGTGTGTCCATGTCAGCATTAGAAAACTTATTCTCATGAGAATAAAATTACATTTTCTTTTGTCTTTATGAGACCTCCTTTAGCTTCCTATGTTAAAATTTTGTAAAACTTATGCCCCTTGATTGACACTTTGCATGGAAGTTCTTGTGTTTAAAATTGGCAAAGTTTCAAAAGTTGTCTTAGAAGGAAGAAAGAAGTGCAAAGTGCCTTCTTGCACTCACTGAAATACATTTTCACATTTTTTTGCAAATTATTTTCTTAAATGTGTCACATTTATTGGCTTTATTTCTCTTAAGGCTTTCTCATTGTTGATGTGGTTTGTAACAAGTTCCTGCTGCTCTGTCCCAGAAAACTTGGTGAAGGAAGATCTTTTGCAGCCTGTCATTGTATATCACTGAAAAATAAGCTTCATCATTTAATAAATGGCACTGACGTACAAACAGCTGCCTCTCATTCTGTACACATGACAGGATGGCCTGCCTCTACCAGTGACAGCACAGCTGAACAACGCCATCAGTATTCCTGCTTACACCCAATCTCAGTCTACAGCAAAAGATTAGTTCCTCAGCATGGTGAATAATACCATAATGGCAATTATTCTCTTAAATCACCACCCCTGTGATGAGGAGACTGCTGTAACCTGTGCTGCTGTGAGGCAGCCAGCACACAGTTGCGCTGTGTTGTGGGCATGCCAGCGGTGGTCCTGACATGACCAAAGGAGTAGGTGGCCAAATTAACCTTCCCTGCCTGCATGCTCCTCAGGCATTTCTCTGTGTCAGATGTTCCATGGCTGATTAAGTTGGTTTTGGTCTGCACTTTGTATCATACAGGGTCAACGGAGGCTTAGGATTTAGGCTACAATTAACCAGACTTGAAGTTTTTTAAGTACCTCTTCTTTAAAAAGAAAGATATCTGTAGCTACATTTAAAAAGTATATTTTGCTAAACTTGCATGAATACCAATGTGTAGTAATGGGCAAAGTTTCAGAAAGTGTTCATATTCTGCAGATTTTTTTATTTGTTTTTGCTAGAACATCAGCTAACAAGAATTTTGTTTACTGAAATTCTACCATGTCCTCTTCATAATGTCCGGGGGTATGACGTTTCTCCTGGGTCTTTCATCATCTGTACCTCATGTTTGGTCATTTTCTTCCCAGGCAGTCTTTGGGAGGGAACCATATTGTTGTCTCTGAGCCCAGCTGCCCTAGATGCTCCTTATAGTCAATGCAAGGCGTGATTTGGCATCTCCTTTCTGGAACACCTCCTGGAGGTGTTTCTCGCTTCATTGATTGAGTGAGGAAATGAGGATGAGTTTGCTCCAACCTGAGTGCTTGTAACATATCTACTCAGGTGGAATTAATTTAGGCTGCTTTGTGTTATGCCCCATTCACAAAAATTTCTCCTAAATGGACAGGAGAGAGAACAAAGAAGAATAAAACCCTAGATCAGAGACATATCACTTTTACTAACTTTTATTAATATTGCCAAATATGATTCTCTTGCAGGTGGTATACAACTGGTCTCTACCCTTAAGTTCAAGAAGAAATCAGCAAATCGTCACAACTAGAACCTTTCAGATGCAAAACAGGTTAGCTATGAGACTGAGAAATAATCCATTGAAGTAGTAATTTACATAGCCTTGACTACAAAGGAATAGATAATATTTTAAAAATAATCTATCATTGCCTGTTTCAGCGGGGCTGGAATGGATGACTTCTTGTTGCTTTTAAAATGGACTTACAAGGCTGGTTTGTACTTGAGTTACTTTCCAAACAATGCTATTTAGAAAGACAGAGTGTAAATGTTTGAAAAATTGCTTGTAATTATATAACACATATACATATATTTATAGGTACTCAATATAAAACTAATGCATAAATAAAACTAAAGGTATTTCATTCTAGAAATTAGCAAAACTTCTCTTTTTTTCACCAGAGGCACTATCTTCATAAACATTCAAGCTTTCCTACAGGAGCCTGGAAGTGTTCCTCTCTCCATGAAGCATCAATACCTTCATGCAAATATAGAGGCACAAGTAACAATTGCGTCCATCATCTTAGTAGGTGTCTACGTGCTGATCATATTGGAAGTAAGCCAGTTCTGTACTTTTTATTTTTCCCCTACATTATAAATGGAGGACAAGGAAGGGTTTCGTTCTTGGGCTTTAATATACTTTTAAAATGTGTATATGAATCCTTGCTGTACCATCAGTGTTCCTAATAGCATAAGGTATGTGCGAGTAAAATTGTAACTGATTTTGGCAAGTTCTATTAACATTACAGTGGTCTTGTGTATTTTTCTATTAGTACCTATTAGTGTTTTAACATTTTAATAGGATTATAGTTTGTGAGAATGAAAATAAGTCTGGGTTATAAAAGGTGTGGAAAATCTGATTTTAGTTAATTATTTTTTAAGATAAGGTAAAAGAAAAAAAAAGCTTTGGTTATTCCCTTCTTTAAGACACCTCAAACTACAGATTTAGTGTACTTTTAAAGTATCACTTTTTAATGAGTGACATTTAGAAATTCTTTTACTGTGTTATTTAAAGAGGAGATGGAGTCTGAGTTAAGATGAAGTCAAGGGACAGGGAACTTTAAACATATACTGCAACATCATTCCAAAGCATTCAGGTACCAAACCCAATGAAAATACATTGCATCAGCACTAAGGATAGAAAACACATCAGAAACAACATGGGGCTCCGACTGACAACTTTGAACTGAAAGCACTTGCTGTCTGATTATCTTGAAATGAAAAACAGATACGGGGCAGGGAACATTGGATTTTTATTATGCATGTAAGCATCCACATTATCAATGAATTCTCCAAGTTGAATCACACCTGATTTACACTAGTATGAAACAGAAATGAATCAAATCAAGTCTACTAGGTGCTCCATAGTAAGTATGTCCAGCATGCTAATTTTTCCTCCACATCCCTTGCTTATTTTAAACTTTTCATCTTGTTACCTGTTGAAATGGTAAGATAGTTGAACACATTCTAATTAAATATCAATAATGGGCACACACAACATGACAGATGCTTTTAGATTATGTTGTTCAGCAATGGTGATTTGTTTATGAAGCTGAAAATGCCTCTATGTACTTTATAAATGAGCAGAGATATAATGTTAAGCGTGGACGGGGATTGGACTAGATTTTACTATACATATATGGAGACATGCAGCACAGCACCAAAATAACCTTAATACTTTTAAATGCAGCTTTTATTTTCAGAAACCCCCAACTATACAACCCTTTAGCAATTACAAAAACATCAGGTTTTTAATGTATGTAAAGAGTGATTTTGTGTTTGCATCCTGGAAAGCTGCTTTGGAACAATTCTATGTAAAAGGAAATAAAGGCTTGAAACTGAAAAGTAAAGCCAAGGAAAGCATGCATTTTCCCATTGTTTTCAAGAAAAAGATTTAAAACAGCTCATTAACTTATTGTTTCTGTGAAAAGATCAAGGAAACATTTCTGTTGTTGGCAGAAAAATTATTTTTGCAAATTCAAAGGTGGAAACGAATTCTTGTGAGTAAAATCTTTGGAATTTTAGAATGTGTAATGTCAGCTCTTGTACCATGATGTTGGCTGTTTTCTCCATAACATCAATGACAAATGCTACAGCCAGAGTAAATTTTAAACTCTAGGTATATAAGCTGGAAATGGCTATCATAGAAACAAAACTTGACTGTTGTTTGGTTCCCTCATGGATCTTTGGAAAAGATGGATGTTAATATTGTTAGAATATGTAATAGTGGCTTACCTTATGTACAGTCTTTATAACTTTGGTGCCTGAAGTCCTGCTTTCTCAACAAATTGCACTCTCTACTCCATTAGCAGTTACCACTGTTAGAGAAATCAATTGGTGTTGCTGCAGGAGTGATCTTTCATGGATTTTCTTTTTCAGTGTTGCTGCTCCCCATCTTTTATCAGTCTTTATTAGTTTCCTATGTTTTATTCACTATTATTGGCAATACAGATTTAACTTCAGACAGTGTGGATGCCCAAACAAGTTTTAGAGCTCTTATTTTCACATATTTTCTTATAACAATGAAGAAAGAGGAAGCATTTTATCTGTTACAACTCACAAGAGCCAGCTGAAGGCGTGCCGCTTGCTCCTCCCACACAGCCCTTTTCCCCAAACATGAATCATAGATCTTGTGCCCACAACCTCCTCAACCTCACTGTTCTCATCTTTTAATCCTTCCTTCCCCTTTTCTCCTTGCCCTTTGCTACCTTAGTCACTAGGGAGTGTGCAGAACAGGCTGCAAGGGCTTCTGCCTTCTGCAAATAGAGATGATAGGAAAAGCTGGTGAAGTAAGAGGTTCCAGTTGGAAAATGAAGCCCATTTACTGTAAACTGTCATCTTCTCCAAACTTGCACCACTGTAAAGACACAGGGTAAATTCTGCTTTGAGACAGCTGTTTGCCTCTTGTTGGCATCAAATTTCTAGGAAGTCAATGTATGTCAAGTACCAGTCCTTGTCTGTGGAGAAGTCTTACTGTCTCAGGATGTGCTGTTCTTCAGAAAACACATTAAGCTGTTGCAGTTCATTGCTTCAGACATTTATTTTAATTGTTGTTTATTTTGAAACTGATTACGTGTTACATATTCATAAAATCCAAATATGTTTCTGGTAGAAGATGATGCCTCTTTTTCCTCTTTAATTTCCAATGATTTCTTTTTTATGCTTACCACAAATATGAATATTTTCTTATTTTACAATCCTACTCTGCCCCTTGAAATTTTGGTATATTGCTTTAATTCTCTTTAGATGGATATTCTTCAGTATGAAGGTGGTGAGACAGTGGAACAGGTTGCCCAGAGAAGTTGTGGATGCCCCATCCCTGGAAGTGTTCAAGGCCAAGTTAGACGGAGCTTTGAGCAACCTGGTCTAGTGGAATGTGTTCCTGCCTATGGCAGGGGGGTTGGAACTAGGTGATCTTTAAGGTCCCTTCCAATCCAAACGATTCTATGAATCTCATAGTTACATTTTCTCTTTCAAATCTGTGTGCTTTTTCTTTTTTTCCCTATGTAATCATCCATTCATTCTCTTGAAATTGATTTTTCTTCAAACACCGATCAGTTCCTTCTTTGTGTTTCAGTCTTCTGTCCCTCCCCTTCTCTCAGAGGAGAAAGTAGAAAAAAATTCTGCTTCTTCTGGTATTTTTTAATTAATCTAATCTATACTATTTTGTAGACTTGTTGAAAACAATGAATTATTTAATTTTGATCTTGGAAGCCTACACTGCACAGGAAATTAAAACAAGTGTACGTTTAAAAAAAAAAGTGTGCCAGGTTTACCTTTGTTGATCTCAGTTCTACCATCTGACCCTTCAGGATTACCGAGGAACATGGATAAGAAAGATGTTCTATAAGTATGTTTTCACATTGGTCTACAGGGGCATCTGGTGTAAAGTGCTGATGTACAGAGTTCTACACTGATGTTGCTGTACTAAATTAGTTCACAATGTATTTCAAGATTGGCTCTTTCTAGTTTTGATCCTCAAAATGTGTAGCCTCTTTTGACTGAGAACTTGAAAAAATGCAAACAAAAAAATCTTAGAAAATTTAATTTTTACACTTTTCTGCTCCAAAATCTTTGTTCTTTCAGCTGAGAGTGTGTTTTGTCTTTTGCCGCCTTTGATTTCCATTCTTTTTCCAGCAAAGCCTTTTTCTATGTATATAACTAAAGTGACTATTTACACCCCATTCACTGAGATTCAATAAGCAGCAGCGTATGGTTGTTTCTGATGATACAGCATAGTCAAGGAAATGTAGTGTGAATAAAATCTCATTGTTTCCTCTTTGCAATACAGTAAGCTATCTTTTATTTCTCCCCTTTTGCCTGTATTTCTATACACAGAGAATGGAATACTACACTGGTTACCCTGAAAAGAAATCTATCTGTCTGCCCATCTACATCTTAAAATATCTGTTAATATTACAAAGTTTTATTGTTTTTTTGAAAAGTTTCCTGAGTTGATAAATGCTTATTAGTAATTATTAACTGTATATTTGCAGCTATGCTGGAGCTGCGTTAATTAGAAATATGTAAGGAGGAATGTTAAACATTTATTATTTAAGTACAGAGCTCACTAATTTGAATGAACAATTGTGTGAACTTGTCTGATCTTGTCCTTTAATAATATATTTGTTTTGTGTTGTGTGTTAAAATGGAGTGTTAGCTGCTTATGATACTAAAATGAGGCAGCAGAAACAAATATGGAGGTAATGGCCTTTTTGAAGCTATTTTATAAAACATTTTATTTAGTCAGGAGAAAAGGCAGAATAACATTCATTTTAATAAATTAAAAAAAAAAGACATACCAATAACACATCAAATGGCAGAAAAATGATACCAGCAACTACCAGAACTTCTGTGAGAGCCTCCATAGGGCTTGTTCTATCACAGGAGCTATCATTTCATTTCATATCCTGTCTTGTAGTTAGCCCTAAGAAAGATCTTTCCATGATCTTTCAAATGGTATTTTAATCATCTGACATCTTGAATAACATTTACATGCCTGTATTTCTCCTTAAAACACAAATACTTGAAAGTGCAAGATCTGGCCTTAAAAGCTCCAGCTTCTTACTAGCATGAAGTATGGGCTTATAATCACAATTTTTATTACTATAATGGAAATGGAGAGTGTCAGTTTCTCTCCGTATTACTTTTCTATTATTAACTAGCTTAAATTATGAATAAACATCCCCTAAGCTTAATTTCTTTAACTTAAAGCAGAGTGATTTTTAATAGCATCTAACCAGAAGAAATTAGCTGCAGACAGCAAAACTTTTTGTGGTTCAGTCTGACCATTTTTCTAATCTTGTGGGCTAGCTGAACCAGTGTTTCCTCGCAGGAAACATTTTTACAAACGAAATAAGATGTTTGTTATTATTGCTCACACAGTCGAGTTTTTGCTTATTTCCAGTAATGAGGCTATTTATTTGCACATGGAAAATTATGCTTCGGAGATGGAATAGGAAAACAGAAGGAATAGTCACTGATATACAAAACATAATACTAAATGATGGCAATAGGCTAATCTTAAGGGAGAATATTTCTGATGAGGAAAGTCAC